TTTTTATATCTGACGTTCATATGCGAAACAATGGCGACGATTCCTCGAACCTCTCGTTTCCGATTCTTTCGTGGAATTTCCTTCGAAATTCAACGAGCACCATTATCGGTCCATCGATTGTATATTCCACTGTAACTTCTTTTTCGTGTCGCTGCACACACGCTGTACTTTCCACGTGCACGTGTGTCCACGCGCACGTTGGCTTTTCGTCTCTCCCCCTCCCCCCTCCCCCTCCTCTCCGCCGACGTGTTTCACGCCGTAATGCACGATGTTTCGACGTGGTAATTAATATTTAATGACAGAGTGCCGCCGCGTAATCGGCTCAACTACGTTGCACGAGGCATTACGGCGGTGTCGACCACGGGATGGCTGGCCTGGGACCTTGCTATTCGAGCGTGTAACGAAAACCACGCCGGACGTTTTCTTTAATATGGAAAAAGCACGCTCGCCCAGGAGAACGCGCTCCATCGACAACTACCGGGACTTTTTACCTATTAATTTCTCGCCGCTGACACGATGCACACAGCGGGGACGTGACAGCCGCTCGAGGAAGACGCAACTATCCGCAAGGCCGGTACATCGAAACGAGACGAAACTCCAGGCTTCTTTCAAAAAGAGGCTCTTTGATTATTCACAAAAATCTGCGCGAGTTTAACGCTTGAACTGGATTTCTCGTATAACATAGGAAAATTCGAAAAAGTCCTCGGAGCGAGGTGAAAATTAATTTCAGCTTCGTTCTCGAGAGAATAACGACGCGTTTAAGCGGAGCGCGTTAAACTCGGGAGGTGCTTCGGTCTTTGCTAAACTCTTGGCCAACATTTACCGTTTATCGGACGGTGTATTGGAACGCCTTCGCAATTTATACGCGAGTTTCATTTACGACCCGAGACGTCGTTGCACTCGATTATCTTCGCCAGCCAAAGGCAGCGCCGATTAATCGGAAGATTCATCTTCGGTAAATCGTCATCAATGGCCAATCGATTTGATTAATTTTCACGTGAGAAGACCTATCTCTCTGACCCTCGGCAGCATCCGTTCTGCAATTATATTTTCATTCGTGGACGAACGTCCGAGTTTCGAAGAATCGAGCAGAGACCAGTCCAATCATCCGCGGAGCAATCGACGTGGATAGAAGATACTTCCGCACGCCCCCTTCCCTCCATCTAGAATCTACGTGGCACCGAGAATGGCGCGGAAGCTCTTAACTTCGAAGACGATTCCGCCACTTACGGGCGATTACACGCGGTAAAAAGAAGGCAACGCGACCGTCAAAGCGAAACCACCTCAAGCGTTTTAAACTCAATTTTATTTTCGACTGAACGAGGTGCCACGCGGCTAAGCGGACTAATTGCGCGTAATTAAATAACGAGCAGTTGAAACTAACCACGGTTCTGTTTAGTCGGTTGAGAAAAGAATTCCTTAGGACACGGTGTGTCTCCCTCCCCTACCCTCGAAGCATACGTTCTATACGCTTTATCCGGCGGTGACGTGTCCATATCGAACGATCGTAAATAACTTTCGCGCGAAACGAACGAATGAAATGCGTGATAAGTAATTTCGCTTTGCTTTTCGATTAATCATCCTTTCCATCGTATCGGGAAAATATAATTCTGCGCTCGACGTTTACTGTTTGACGGATTGTTTTTTTCTACGTGAATCGCGTAATCGACGAACAGGATGAATAATCGCTGCCATTTTAATCGCGTCGAATGTTTCGAAACGAACAGCCAGTTCGAGCTTGACTGTTTAATTAACAGCGCTCGCTATGTACGCATAGGCTGTTAATTTAAAGGGAAGATAAGGAAAAGAACGAGGAGCATAATTTTTTCGAAGAAAACGATACGATTTCAGAATTTTAAAACGGCCAAGCAATTGTTCGTGATTCCTGCGTCAAACTAATTTCTCGAAGTGGCAGTCGAAAGAGAGGTGTTTCTCTCCTTCTTTTTTCTTCTTTCTCAAAGAAAATTTCACGATGATTCCTCGAGGACGCGGGCAGGAAGCGAGTAACAAACGGCTCGCGAGAATAGATGATAAAATTTGTATAAATACACTTGGAATTTGTTCTCTCCTTAGCGAGCGGCGGGCTAAACCGGCGTTCATAATTCCACGATTATAATGCCCCTTGTGCACAGAACGTTGAACGCAAGCTCTGAATACTCTGTGTTCTCAAGATCCTTAAAGGGAAGCGGGTAGCGCTACGTTTAATGCGAACGCTACATTTGTACGGTGAATAAACGATGAAATTATACGTTGTTAAACGACGGATAGCGTGAAACGACGGTGTGGCGTCGTCTATTTTTTTCTTCTTCTTCTTCTTCTTCTTTTTCCCCTCTCCGAGATTCCTGCGCGAGCAGCGGCGGCTGCGAGAACGAGGAAGAAACGCTTTTGAATAAAACATATTCACCGGCGGCTATGGCCTGAAAGTCTATTCTTCCGGTTCTTCTGTCCGCTACACGTCTTTCTCTCGACCACCTATCCGACTACCCGCCCTTTCCCATTTTCCTCTTTTCGTCCCCTTTTGTCCGGACTGTGCTGTACACGGCCACTTATTCGCGAAACGAGACGACGGCCTGCCTCGCCTCTTCCCGACAATTAATGTTTCGCATAGCGGCCCAATAGGAGGGGGAGTTCCGCGAGGATAACAGATTAAATAGCCCTTAATACCGCGCGCGATCCCGCCCGCGGAATTCACCGATGGAATTCTTTTCATCGCTTGCCGCGGTTCACGACGGCGGATGATTAAAGTGTTTGATGCGGAGATCGGCCGGCTGGTTCAAGAGGATTCGACGTCCGGAACGTACGGAATGTTTGAGCGCCGACCGGGCTAAACTCCGCGACCCCCCGGAGTATTCTGCTCGTGTTCTTCGATCTCTTCACTGCTCTCTGTGCGCCGCGACTTTTCCCAGGTAGCGGATCAGCCGAATTCCGCTCCTTGGTTTCGTTCCACGATTCTATCAAGAGATATCGATATGATTTTTTTTTTTT